TATGTCAAAGCAATAACTCTATGACGTGCTTACTTTTTTCTAGTAAAAATCTCTACTTGTTGTGGGAAACTTGAACAAGCAGAATATAATAGAGGTCTCAAACTCAATCATTAAAAACTTCCTTTTCAAGTTGACAAGAACAGACTATAACAATTTGTTGGAAGAAGTAGTTAGAATAATATCATCAACATACAATGGGATTATAGCCATATGAAAACCATGCTTATAGATAAACATAGATGTATCTACATGACTTGAGGCAAAGCCTTGAGTAGGAAAAAAGGATAGAAAACATTGAAACAACACTGGAAGGCTTGTTTTGGTCCATAAATAATCTTATTCAATATACTCATAAGTTATGACAAGAGCATGGACCAAATCGAGCTATCTTTCTTGACATTTGCCAATGTGCTGACGAAATGAGTAGACACAATTCCTTTTTTGTAGTGTGATCTAGATAGAGTTTTTGGGGATCCATTAGATTGCTTCCCACTTGTTGGAGTGCTTTATTCATTCTCATATTAAGGGGGAGGGAGTAAGAAATGAGGCCAAATCCCTGCTGAGAGGAGTTATCTGCAAAATTGTGGACAATCTAGTTGGAGAGAAATTAGAGAATTTTTGAGGATGTTTATTCTTCTTTTCATGAATTGTGGGATTAGTTGCTATTTCAAGCATCTCTTTGGGCAAAGGCACATGGTTAATTCTCGGACATGAGTCTTTCCAAGGTAGTCAATGACCCCTACCAAGATTTTGTTTAAATATATTTTCGTACACAAAAGTATATTGTCAGCCTTTCTATTAGAAAATTCGAGGAGGACGCCTATTATCCACCATTTTACTTATTCCTTTCTATCTATAGAAGCATCTTTACTTATAAAAAAATAGCGTTGTTCGATCTACACACATGCCATGGATAAAAGCCATTCTTGATATCAAGTTGATGAATTTGCCAACAATGAGAAACGTTAACTGATAATAGAGGGCTTTAGAACTGGACTGTAAGTTTCATTATAATCAATACCAAGTTGTTATCGAAAACTTTGAGCAACTAATTCATTGCTATGAATCATATCAGCTACTCTTATTTATGGAAAACTATCATATTTTTGAGTAAAAAAGAAAGAAATGTTATCATGTTTAACTACTTACGTGTTCTGTAGTAACTGTTTGCATGTGAATAACTTTATTTCTTTCCTTGAATTATAGTGGAAAAGACTTCTTTTTGTTTGTATATCATTGACGTAACTGCTGATTATGAGTTTGTTGAGAGTTTGCAGAGCCAAAGATCTGGGAGGAAGATCATCTCGTCAGAGTATGTAAATCATATATCCGCTTTTTTGCTTCATCTGGTTTTCGCTGTCTCTGTTGTACTTGTGTTTCTTTACATTCAGTGATTATGTGTGCTTACTGTTGAAGTGATGATGATGAAGACAAGATTGTTTGGAATGTGGAATGTCACTATAGTCAAGCTAAAGTTGATGGGTGCACCTTTAATCTCGGAGATTGTGCGCATATAGAGGTAAACATGAGTTCTTCTTGGATGTCTAAATATATAAATTTATACATATATGTATATACACATACCTTTTCCCATTATATTTATTGTGGCATATTATTTGCCAGCTGTATCTCTTAATGGTTTTCTTTTTTATTTCTTTCTTTCATTCTTTATCCTTTAGAATAAGTCAAGTTATGCACTTCTCTGATTGAGCTATGGTAAAAAAGAAAAATCTGAAATATAATTATGCTATAGCTCTTCTTATGAAGAAATAATACAGAGTTTTTAGTGATGATTAAAAGAATAGGGAAGCTAAATATAGAAATTCAACTATATAGAAACTGACTATAAAGTTGATGGTATAACACCTAGCAAAGTTTGTTGGTACATGATTACTACCAGAACTATTAAGGTTTTATTTCCTATGTAGTTAGTAGTCTTATTTTGTAATTGTTTTCTTATTTAAGGATTTGTCATTTCAGGGTAGTCTGGACACCCTACAGATATAGGATGATGTATATTGCTTATGGAAAAAAATGTTTAATATTCTTTTTCTGGTTTAGTGCATAACAACTTTGTGACCATGACAACCATGCAGTGTTATTGTTGCCAATCCCTGTTATTGTGGATTGATTTTTTTTTTTTAAATTATAATTTCCATTGTTCTAAATCATTTGTTGCGGCATCAATTTGGTATAGAATGTTCTTGATTT